CAGAACACACTGAGACAGAATAATGGGATTGATAATACTGATGATGATAACACGAAATAATAGTTACAAATATTAGTGTTCATTACAGTGATAATGATGATGGTAATGATGATATGATACTGACACTGATATTGATAATGACAATGACAATGACAATGGCAATGACAATTACGATGATGATGATAATAATGATAATAATGATAATAACGATAATAATAATAATAATGATAATAATAATAATAATAATAATAATAATAACAATAATAATATTTATACTTCTGTACTACTGATACTAATAATTATGGTAAGCCTGATGATGATAAGAAAATATTGATAATGGCAATGATAATGATAACATGATAATAATAGTAACAAACACATTATAATATAAAGCGAAATATTTTTTTCTTAAATTCACCGATACATGAACGAGACATAAAACTGAAAGTGAAAAAAGAAAACCAAAACAATGATGATAAAAGTAATAATAGCCATAATGAATAAATTTAAGAATGGAATAACCAGCGGAGGTGTAGCTTTGTGATTCATTTGCTCCGGCTGCCTCGGCCTCACGCTGGGGCAATAATAATAATAATAATAATGAAAATAATAATAATAATAATAACAATAATAATAATAATAATAATAATAATAATAATAACAATAATAATAATAATAATAATAATAATAATAGTAAAGGATATATTAATCATAATAATAACATGAGGATGATAATGACAACTGTAGAAGAGGTAATAGTAGATATGATAATGGTAATACTGATAAGAGTGATTATATTAATAGTGTTAATAATAATGATATTAATAACAGTGGTGATTATAATAATGATAATAATCATGATAATGCTAATGATAATAATAATAATAATAATAATGATAATAATTATTATAATAATGACAATTATAATAATAATAATAATAATAATAATAATAATAATAATGATAATGATAATAATAATAATAATGATAATAATATCAACAATAGTAAAAACAATAATAATAATAATAGTGATAATAATAATTATTATGATAATACTAACAGTACTATTTGTAACAATTGTAATGACAGTAATGATAATGGCAATAACAATGCTATTGATGATGATGATAATATCCTTAATAACAATAATAATGAAGATATTAATAATCCCATGTAAAGCGAAAATAATTATAAGGATAGCAATACTAATAATCACTGTTGATAATAAACGTAAAAAACATAAATAAAAAATGACACATGAGCATCTCCATCATCCATTGAATAAAAAATGAGAATGGTCACAACGAAGACGAATAAGGACATGAAGAACAAGAGAGGAAGTAGAAAAAAAAAAGTTTATGTTAAAACAGGGAGACAAAGAAGGAACGTTAAGCGCAGGAACAGAACACGAATCAAACATGTTTACAACTTGAAGAACGTCCACCATTTTTTTATCTTTTAAGTTAACTATATGAGACAGACACTGATATACAAAATATTCACACACAATTCAACACCGCACCATATAGTTTAATCTTCGCCATTGTTAACATTCAACAGTGGAATTAACAGTTTTTTTTATTTTATTTTTTGAGGGTTTCTTTTAAAAGACTGTATTTTACATCACATTAACACGATTTCTTTCTCATCTGACACTGTGGGAGAGATTTCATTAATATACAGAATGAAATATGTATTATATTTCTTTATGGCATTCACTGATTCACATAAACTTTTCTTCATTTTCTTTGTTTCTTTGTTGTTGTTATGATTTGCATTTAGAAATTCAACAAATTCCTCTTTCACTTCCTTTTGTGTTGTCTTTTTTCCTGCTTTTTACTTATTTATTCATTTGTTTGCTTACACAATAAGGCCTTTTTTACATAAACATTCCATACCTTTGTAAACACATTTTACGCTTGTAATCTTTGGTCACCGAGCTTAATATTGGGATATCCTAGATGCGATATACATAAGGATCACATAAACATACTTACATCATATGATTTTCGACTAGAGAGGCAAAAACCGTCTGACTAATTAATGATTGTTAAGGAATAGATCTTATTGTCATGATTTGGAAAAGAAAGAAGAGTGAGAGAGGGCACATTAACATAATAAACTTAAGGCTAAACTTTAAACATACTTATGAGTGTAACTAAGTTATCTTATAAAACTGGTCATTCTACACACACACACAAAATATGTCTGTATTAATGCTTTGGTTTCAGTTGTCCAACTTATGATCTTGACTACGATAATAATCATAATAATAAAAAGAACCAAGTTAAACATCAGTCTACAATACAGATTCAGCATCTTGAACAATATCCTGCTAAAGATAACTGAATATCTATTTTGTGCAATTTGAACTTAATAATCTATGTCTTTCATAACGCCTCAGGGAAAAATACGTCAGATGATTTTTTTCTCTGGAGGCAAACAACAGTAATAACTTAAACATAACAATTAATCTTACATATCAAAACAGAAACATTTTTTAATTAATTAAAAAAAAACTATTCATAAAACACCATGTTATAGAAAATCTGTTTTCTTATAAATTTGACTTCATGACTTCAAATATGGTCATGTAACAATCTGTTATGGTTAAGACTGACAACAGTGATCGTATAACAAACTTTCCGCCATCAATGTTTGCTAAAACGAAAATTCAGATCACCACAACGGAATCTCTAGTTCCCCTTATACCAAATACTTGTACACTCCTGGAGTTAACATGTTATTAATACTGTAATCAGGTTATCTTGTTATCAACAAAGCAGTAACATAGTTTCCCAGAAAGAGAAAGACTGATAGACATATAGAGACAGATAAATTGAAATAAATGGACCGAGAGATAGATAGATAGATAAGTAGACAGTGAGTGAGTGAGTAAGAGAGAGAGAGAGAGAGAGAGAGAGAGAGAGAGAGAGAGAGAGAGAGAGAGAGAGAGAGAGAGAGAGAGAGAGAGAGAGAGAGAGAGAGAGAGAGAGAGAGTTGAAGCAGACAACAGTAGGAGAAGGAAACAGGCGAAGAAAATATACTTCTCCGAGAATCATGGACGCACAATGCACAGGAAAATAGACGGAAGAACACTCACAGTAGGCCCTGGCAATGAGACCGTCTCCTTTCAATCTCCATCTTGGCTGTCTTGCGGGAAAGCACATCTTTGGCACTGATACTGACAGTACAGTATCTACAGAACAGGTTTTCTACAGAACAGAACGGTAGTATGAACGAGGAAAGGCCCGCTGTTTCCCTGACTAAAAGAAACGAAAAGGCAGACGGACACAAGACACACTGCATCACACTTCGTCTTGAGAAAGTGTGAAGGGAATTCGCAACTTAGCTTAAGTAAAATGCCTACTGTGGAGATAATGGTACAGTTTAAATAGTCATTGACTCAGCTTCGATAATGGGACCTAATCAATATGATTGAGATATAATGGCTAGGAGAAAGTAATGGGCATCTTTCCCTACTGAATAGTGAATATATGCTGTGATGTTATATGGTATGCTGTGATACTGTATTCACCTGTATCATATGTATTATCATACGCATTGCAATATATATATATGTATATATATATGATTTGCTGGAACATCTACGATATATCAGTGTACTATACATGCCATGTACTATACTGCATTCCTTTTTTATGAATTAGCATTCACAGTAGAATGCATACACTAATAGTCATATGTATAGATAGATATCACTTTTTACAAATGCCTTCATTTTAAATAGCTACATGTTGCAAACTGATTTAAAAATAACTAAGTACTGCAATCGTAATTCGCAGTAAAAAGCAGTGTTCTCTACCTTCATATATATAAAAAATCCCTTTTGCATTTTGATTCAAAACAATATTCAGTGGGATACCCATTAAATGTAGAGAGACACCAGATTACACTGGATAAACATGGGATCGGCTCAAGATAACAAGTATGTATGTACGTATATATATGTGTATGTGTATATATATGTGTGTGTGTGTGTGTGTGTGTGTGTGTGTGTGTGTGTGTGTGTGTGTGTGTGTGTGTGTGTGTGTGTGTACAAGGAGTGGAGTCACTTCAAAGAAGTCACGGTGTCTGTTGTATTTACAGTGAAGAATGGCTTCTGTAGTATATAGCATACATAGTCTGAATCCCGTCTATGCGTCGCAGTTCTGAGAACACAGAACACTCATTCCATCATTACACAGAGGCCTAATTACTGTCATTAAATATAATTCGAACGATTGGTAAAAAGTTCAATAGAATTAGAAGCTAGCTTTTAGTTGAGCTGAAACAAAAGAAATCGTGTAAGAGATTTTAGCACTTTCAAATGCGCTCGTCTCCCCCCTCCCCCACCCCCTCCCCGTTGGCTACGCTACAACAAGAACCAGTATTTTATTACACTGGACTAACTCTGGTATAAAAATCGATATCTTTGAATGATAATTATGATGAATAAATTTTATTCTTTGGTCTATAGAGATGCATAAACATTTTCGATAAATGTTAATAAGTTAACCTATTTTTATTAGCTACTTTAGATGAAAAAACTTATACTTTCCTAAGGAAAAAATCTACTGATAATAACCCGAAAATATGCATAATATTCTCTTACAGTATCATTATCAATACTCAGCATCAGATTTGTGACTAAATATCCGAGTCTTAGAGATCGCAACACTAGGCTATGACAATGACAATCTCTCGTCTATTGCGTTATCAGCGAACAGAATTCGGATTGTTGAGAGTATTACACTACACTCTTATTGTTCTAAGGGACAGCGAGAAGGGCAGTCGAAAGAGCCGCTGTTGAGAGCCATTTGCCATTCGTTCTGTGACCTTTTACTCGAGGTGAGGATCGGATACTACCGCGGGGGTTCCGATTCCTTCTGCAGGATGAACGGGGGACTGGAACCCCTTGTTTGGGATTCCTGAAAGGCTTTGTATATATGGCCTCTCGTAGACCCTAGTTCACTCTAAATTAAGTGGGCTTTCGTGTAGCTCTTCCGCGGCTCTTTCGGTCGCCCTTCCCGTGTCGCCCTTGAGCTGGTGGAAGACAGATGAAGAAGGAGATGCGCCGACATCCCCATCAGAGAAAAATGATAAAAAGGCGGAAAACTTGATGGGCTGGAACTGTAAACTTTGGTACGTGGAAGATATTTTTTTGTAAAAGACTAGCTAGTTTTTAATGTATTTCTTACTTCTCTTCTATTTCTGACTTTCGAGGACATTGAGCGAGTGAGGTAAACAGATATTCATCTTAAAAGTACTATAGGCATCTCTCTCCCGGCCGCCTGCCATGTAGAGATCGCTAATACAAAACTTGTTTACTTTCACAAAACCTTATAAACACTTTTATAGAGGTAATCTACTTCTGGCTCGGTTGTGAGATAATATATCTTTATCTTACGCTACATTATTTCATTTCATCCCTTTTTTTCGTAAAAGAAAAAAATAACTAATTAGTGTCAAGAGCAGTACACATCTTTAAAAAAAATCTTTGGTTACGAGAGATTTGGTAATAGTGTCAGACACAATCAAGACAGAAAAAAGTACTTGACCTGTCTTATTTACGCTTGATTGACACATACAACACATGCAGACATATTTTTTTTTCATTTATCTTTCTCTCTGTCTTTTTAATTTTCTTTTTTTTGGCCCACATTCATTTCTGACCTCTGTATCGACCTCCTTACGGGTCTCGATGTTCTTTTGTTCTGCTTCCACACGTGGGTCAGCGAGGGAGGCCGGCAAGCACGAATGCGGGCGGGCGAAGGGCGTGGGCGTGTCATGTCGGGCGGCCAAGCGGGACTCTGGCACACATGCCCGGGGACGAACACTTCCTTCCTTCCTTCCTTTTCTCGTTTACTTCTTCATTCCTTCTCCTCCTCCTAATTTTCTTCTCCCTTTCTTCTCCTCCTTCTCGCTTTCTTCTCCTCCTTTTCGTTTCCTTCATGCCATCTCCATCCTTCCTCCTTCCTGCGTCTCAAGGAAGCTTCAAGAAGTGTTCGCCGGCCAGGGAGTCCGCGATCGTCTCCTCCGTGAGCGACCTTCCCGGAGGAGGAGGCCGCCCGAACTCCTGTCAGCAAGAGATCCTGCCGGAGAGTCCTATGCGGTTCAGTCTCTCGGGCTCGGACGTGGAGTGGGCGCGGTGCAGGGACAGCGTCTGCTGGAGGGTGCGCAGGACGTCCGGGAAGATCGGGCGCTGCGCGGGCTCCGAGTCCCAGCACTCGCCGATCAGGGTCTGCGGGGGATAATATATGATAACAATATGAAAATATTTCTGAAAGAAGGATTAGCTGAAGAAGAGGTGTGAGATCTGGTGGACCGATTAATTCTTCGGATTCCTCTACAGGATTTTTAGAGGGCGAATTTTCAGAAGGATTCATGAATAGATGATCGGCTAGATTTTTTTTTACTAAAAGACTTAATGCAAGGAAATGATTGTATGAAAGATTTGAGAGATCAGTGAAAGAATTAAATTTAAAAAATGAAAAAGATGGAAGATCTTTATTTTCTTTTAATTCATATGCTAAAGGAATAAGACAGAAAGGGGGATTTCTAATAACAAAAATAACAAAAATATATATAAATGTATTGCCAGGATTCCAGAAATTGTTTTAAACGATTGTTATGAAAATGTTATGATGAGGAATCTCCCCCTTGCACCCACCACCTTGGCCCCCCTCCCCCCCTTCCCCTCCCACTCGGCCTCTCCCTCTCATTCCCCCGCTCCCCTTTGCCCCCCCCCCCCCACTCACCTTCAGGTTCTGCGTGCACTGCAGTTCGCCCGTGGGAGGCTGCCTGCCCTTGCCCACCTGCAGGATGACCGCGTGCGGGTGCTGCGAGGCGAAGGGCGTGGCCTCGGCGAACAGCTCGTACAGCAGCGTCCCGTACATGTACACGTCTGACTGCTGGGTGGGCGGGGCGCTGACGGTGACCTGGGGCGGAGCCACGACCACGGTCCGCATCATCTGTGGGAAGTCATGGGAGGTCAGAGAGTGTTTTTGAGGCTCTGAGAGGTCAGAGGGGACTTTAATAGATCAATGGGGGTCAGGAGGTGTTTCAATAAGTCCTGAGAGGTCACAGATCGCTTCAATATGTCATGAGAGGTCACAGGTCGCTTCAATATGTCATGACAGGTCACTGGTCGCTTCAAAGTGTCGTGAGACGTCACAGGGTGCTTCGCTATCCATGGATAGTTGCATCATTAGTAGTGGGGCTTCTCTGGGGTCATGAAAGGTCACAGTGTTATGCTAGTTTTCCTTTCGTCATGCAGCAACAGTCACTGAGTTATGAGACGTCAAGAAGCCACTGATAGATAGTTCAATAGTAAATTCATTAGCCTATAAGTGTTGGTCCAGAACTTTTCGAGGTCATTCCTATGAGTAATAATCACATACTCAGAATGACTAAATCTAACCAATCTTAATATCCAAAATGCTAACCGATCGGCCAACGGAAACCGCGCGACTTCCATCAAATTCAAAAGAAGGCAAAGACAGGCATCGCGTCTGCGGCCTCCGCTACTCATGCCGTCCGCCATCGCTCCCTTCTAAAAAGACAGACGACCATCTAATCAAACACAAGGCCGCCTTCAGCCCGACGTACCTCAGGAGGCAAGTAGGTGAGGAGCCCCTGCGCCAGGCAGCCCGTGTCCTCTCCCGCCGGCGACGACTCCGCCATGCTGTGGTCGAGGAGACTCAGCTTGATCTTGGCTTCGAGGAAAACGTTGCGAGAGTTGAGGCGGCCGTGGATGATCCCGCGCGAGTGCAGGTACGACATGGCCTGCGCGACCTGCGGCGGAGGGAGGGTGAGTGGTCTGGATGGGAGGGAGGGAAGGAGGGAAGGGGGGAGGGAGGGAGCATAGAGGAGGGAGGAGTGGGCTGGTGAGGGAGGGAGAGAGGGAGGAGGAGAGAGGAGATGAGTGGCTTGTGAAGGAGGGAAAGATGGAGGGAGGTAAGTGGCGGGGGATGAAGGAAAGAGGAAGGGAAGGAGGGAGGGGAGATAAGAGACTTGAAGAGGGAGGGAAGCCGAAGAGGGAGGGAAGCCGAGTAGTGCGGCAAGGGAGAGGAAGGCAGGGAGGGTAGGAGAGAAGGAAGATGAGTGACTTGAGTAGGGAGGGAAGAGTGGAGGTAAGAAGGGAGGGAGGGCAGATAAGACCCAACGAGGGAGGGAGGGAAGTAGGGAGGGAAGGTGGGTGATGTGGCAAAGGAGATGGAGGGAAAGAGGTGAACGAGGGAATGGATAAAAAGGTGGCGTGATGGTGAATGGGTAGATGAGTGTGTGAATGAGCAAGTAATGCATGAAAAAATGTGTACGCTTGTGAATTTATGAATAATGGATAGCGGAATGGATATAGTTGGATAAAGTCACGAATTAATGGAGCTTGTACAAGATAAATGAATATGGGAAATGAAACTACCTGAATATACATCTGAATGGCTGAATAAAATGTATAAAGGCTACGGTATTATGATACAGCATGGTAAGCCCGAACGACATTAAAAAGGAACCGCCACATATGACAGCGATAACAAAAGACGTTCTTTGGGCGGTTATATCATCTGCCAGATGAACAGGACTAAAAGATATGAAATGAATAAATCGGTAAGGCAATAATGGTGATAATGATGATGATAATGATAATATTCATAAATATGGTAGTAAGATGACAATAATAGTGATTATGTCAATGATATAACAGTGATAATCAAATAACGTCAATGACGAGAGCCCCGTCCTCGGCCGCGACGCCGCACCCACCTGTCTGGCGATGTTGACCCTGGAGGGGTAGGGGATGGAGCCCCTGGAGGAGGTGTGTTGGTGCAGGGACATCCCCCGCCGCACGCCCGTCACGATGGCGAGGTGGGGCGGCGCCATGCACGCGCCCATGAACAGGACGATGTTCTCATGGCGGATCATGGACAGGCTGGACACGAGCGCCCAGAAGCGGCGCTCCGTGCCGGCGTCGGAGCCGTCGAAGGTGTGGATCATCACGTCGCCGTGCCAGCGGCCCCTGCGGGAGGAGGGGCGTCAGGGGGCGGCCTTGTGGCAATAAAGGAATGGTCATCATGACATGAACGGCAATATCAACAGCAGTGAAACTGACAGCAGGTGTGCTCCCGACGGCAGCAGCACCTGGGCCTACCTGTAGATGTTGGTGGTGGAGCCGCGGCGCAGCACGTGGCCGAAGCGCAGCTGGTCCCACTGGATGGCCCACTCCGCCAGTGGGTCGTGGCTGCCCGTGACCTGCGTCGTGGAGGCGCCCGAGTCGCGCCGCTCCTCCAGCACCCGGGGCGGCACGCGCACCTCCACGGGCTCCTCCTCCTCGAAGCCGCTCTCCTCGCCCGTGCTCTCCTCGCGGCTCGACGACCCCGGCCGCGACATGCGCCGCGCGCTCGGCGCCAGCGGCGTGTTGGGCCGCGCACCGCCGCCGCCGCCGTCCTGGGGCGTCGACGCAGCGGCGGGCGGGAAGCCCTCGTCCTGGCTGATGGTCTTGCCGCGCGACAGGCGGCGGCGGCGCTCGGCGGCCTGCACGGAGAAGCGGCCGTCCAGCGTACGCCGCAGGTGGTCCGCCGGTAGCGACATGCGCGGCCGCGTGGACGGCGCGCGCTGCGGCGACAGCTCGAGCGAGCGCCGCATGTAGCCGGGCGGGTTGACGAGGCGGTGGTGCGCCGTGGGCGTGTGCTGTGCGGAGATGTTGGGGGACGAGTAGCCGCTCTCCTGCTGCGCCAGCAGCGTGCGGCCCTCCTCCCACGAGCCCCCCCGCGCGGCGCGCCGCAGGAGGTCGGCGAAGCGCTTGCGGGCCGTCTTGGGGTCATGGGGGGCCACGTCGGTGCGCAGGCCGTAGTGCACCTTGGCGTGGTGCTCGGCCGACTTGGGCGTGCGGCCCGGGCGCCGCTTGCGGCCCAGCCACTGCACGAGGCGCAGGTAGAAGCGCTGCGACGTGCGCAGCGCCGCCGAGCGCTCCTCGCCCGCGCCGAGCAGCTCGGCCACGCCGGGGTCCAGCTCCGCCTCGCCCCCCTCCCCCCCCTGCGCCGACACCTGGCCCAGCTCGAGCGCGTCCGCGGCGCCGAGCGGCGGCAGCGGCAGCCCCATCAGCCCCGCCAGGGTGAGCCCGGCGTGCGGCGCGGCGCCCGGGGGGGAGCCGGGGGGGGCGGGCGGCGCGGGGGGGGCCAGGGCCTCTGTGTCAGCTGGGGGCCGGGGCGCGGGCGGGGGGGGGACGGCAGCCAGGGGGGAGGGAGGGGGGCTGCATGACCCCACGCTGCCGCTGTCCTCGTCGCGGGGGCACCTGTGGAGGGGGGGGGGGCGTTAGTACTTAGGTGGCGGTAAGGAAGCATGTAAGGGTCTGGGTGTGTACATGCGTACACATGTGTCTGGACCAACTCGCGTACATCCTCACGAGCCTCTCGCTTCAAGTGTTTCCCTTAATAACAGCACAAAACACAAGCCAACAGACAGACCCATACATAATTAAATGCTAAGAGAGAAAGGCGGGAAAAAACTCCCAGCCCTGCATTCCAACTTAAGCTTTACGGCAGTTTACTTAAAGACCAAAATGGTATGGCAGTTCCTTAGTGAGAAGAGGCAGTGTCTTCAGAGCTATATAATAAGCATGGGTTAATGGGGCTAATGGAATAAGGGGGGGGGGGGAGGGGAGGGAAGGGGACGGGGAGGGGGTAGATAGGAGGGGGAGTGGGGAGAAGGGAAGATGGGAGA